CGGCTTTACGTGCTCTCCGAGGCACGGGGGTGAAACACCGCCAACTTCCCAACTCCGGGCTGTTACTGAGGCTTACTATACAGAAAGACTCAATAACTAAACTTGGCCCGACCCGGGACTCGAACCCAGGACCTCCGAGTGTGCAGCCGTACATGCTAGCCACTACACCACCGAGGCAGTTATTATTATAAATGTACTCGTATATTGAATAAATTCTACTCATTTACTTATTTAGACAAATATTTAAATGTAGCTTTTTAATATTTTATTCAATTAATTATTTAATATTTTAATTTATTATTTTGGAATACTATTGAAAAATAGTCGACTCTAGGTTTCTAATCGATAACATTGAACGACTTATAGAAAAGCACCTGGAAAGATATGAGATGTTATTTGTTCATAATTACATTTCAGGCTAGGGCACGCGCCTTAGAAATCCAACACATCTATACCTATATATATTGGATTTCCAAGGCACAGCAATATGATATATTAAAACGGTAATATTGAACATTCTTATACTATTGACATCTTTGCAATAACAGAAATACGAAATATAATAAAAGAGCTGTTATTAGATATTTAAAGGTGTAAGAGTAGAAGTGTCCTTAGTAATAAAGTGTTTAATAGATAGCAAATAGATGTGAAACGTAAGCAATATTTGTAAAACAATGTGACTCTACCTGACGGGCGGCCACTTATAAAGGCTGACTAAAAAGTAATCAGTTCAACAAAATATCGAGTCGTTTTAAGTTTTAACATGTCAGAACAAGCTTTGTTTTTTTGGGCGAGGAAACAGTGGGACGCCTTTGGACGTTTTGTATATTTTATGGCCACTTCATTAGTTGTATTGAATTTAAAACGACCACTGGGAACACCTTTATTAACACGTCAAAGATTAGCAAAGAAATAACGAATTAAGCAAACACATTGTTCGCTCCATACTTTTAATGGATTATTTTATAAACGATAAGAAATGTGACAAATTATAAATATTTATAGTAGAGCAGATACTTATGTAATTAATTCTTTGTTTGTTAACGAATTACAACTGTTGCCATAATAATTAATCATCAATTAAAAATGTAGGTATATGAATGACAATAATTACTGTCAAGCCGCCATAAAAAGGCAGCAAAATTCTCATACAAAGCACAGCTCGATGCACAAAGCAGGCAGCGCTGGCGATGCAGGCCGAGTGAGGAGGTGAGGTGGAAGGGACCGCGGCGCGCAACAAAGAGCCTTCCGGGAACCGCCACAATACAGGTTTGCGACGTGCGATACCTTCGCAGATACGGGCCGCGACCGGCCAGGTACCGAGCCCTTTTGTCAACCATAACGACACAACGGTACACGTTAAACGAGTTTTGTACTTATTGGAAATTCAAAGGGCGTATTTTGCTCGTCCATAAACAAAACATAAAATGATAGATCAGATTTTGATAAGTTGACGTACTGTGTTTTGAATTCTAACATGTGCGAACGCGGATCGTGATGGAATCGACGGCGATCGAATTCGCAGTAGTCACATTCAAATTGAAATTAAGCAATACAAAAAAGTAGTCGTTATTATTACGTAAGATTCATATTGCGATAGTGAATAGACAAATTAACGATATAATATAGAGTATTTAGAGAAGCTAAAAAATTTCAATCTATACCTTCATACGGTATACCTAATGTCATAAATACAGCGCGGCGACATTATGCGTTTTTTATTTACATTATTGCTGAGATTAGATTTTATTAATTAGAGTTGCTTAGGTAGATACTAGATATGTATATTTGAGATTATTAATAAAGTTCAACTTTTGTACATAACAATTTCTCATCACATAATTTAAATGTGTGCTGCTGGCCAAATGAAATTGAAATACTATTGTCAAGATGGAAACAAAAATCGATTTAAAGTCCGTCTTGACGGGCTAGATAAGTAAAGTCAAGACATTTTCTGAGAACTGCTGCCGGTAAAATAAACTAACACGTGCGTAAGCGAGTCAATAATGTATTGTATATTGTGAAATGTGATTGACGAGGCACTTCTAAAATTCTTTATGTCCTTTGTAGGTTGAATATTTGCAATGTTTTCAAAATAACGCTAGGTCATAAAAGGCACAACATTAAAAGATATTGAATTACATTTTTTTTAACTGCATATCGAACTGGCTAGTAATGTAGTCTATAGTTCGTTTTCTTCTATAATATAGAGTCTACAGTATAACAATGAGGTTTATTGAAAAACTTATAGATTATTTTATATTACAAAAGATATCGTGTAGACATTCCTTTTTTTTAGATTGCAATATTAAGCCAATAAATGATTGAATGACGATTTATAATTTATATCTATTGCGTGTATAGGTATAATAACGGTTATGGAACAGAAAATTAAAGCTAGCCACACTAGATGCTTATTCTAAGGATCTATTGTATATGATTATTTATATGTTGCAATTTAGCAAATTAAAACAAGTGGATAATGACATAATCCATTGGCCCGCTGGTCTGGAGTTTGATATCAAACGGCATGAGTCACGCAAATGAATTTAATAGATGGTATCTAAAGATCCATAACTAATAAATATATCATATCTTATAACCTACTTGCAAGACACACATGTATAATGCATATATATATATATATATATATATATATATATATATATATATATATATATATATAATCATTAAATATTTCTTATCGTTGTTCTTAGGTAAAGAATGGACAAAATATTATTTTGTAAGTTATTACAAAAAAATTAATATCGTCATAGAATATGAAATTCATGGATAAAAATACGTGTTTTTTAATTATATTAAATAACACCTCCAGGTAAATTTCTAAGAAATTAATTAAATTTCTATGAAATCTATTGTTAACTATAACGCCGGCGTGTCCGCAGTTGTGGAAGAATTGGACTGTGACATACGTTTGTAATTTGTATCATTTTATCATTTATTTTTGTATGAAAATTGAAAAGTCATTCAAAGATAAGTTAGTAACGAAGTTAGTCTAAAATCCTGCAGCTGGATTCACTACAATTATTATTGTTTCTTTACTCTATCTTTTTTCAAGCAAAAGATTTGTTTTAGACCGTAATTGGCGATTTCGCTATACACAGACAGCGTGTCTTTAGAAGCCCGCGCGGTACCGTGATTTTTCTTAGTTGAAGATAGAAAGAAACCTTTACATATGTATGTGAGTTACTTAAACTGATCATAAAATGCAAATCCATATTAAATAAAAGAATAATCTAATTCGGGCTAGTATCATACAATTCTTGTTATAATCGCAAACCAAGCGTGTCAGACTTATAATATCGAAACTTAATATTATAAATGTGAAAGTGTGTTTGTTTGTCCTTCTTTCACGTCGAAACGGAGTGACGGATTGGCATGATCTTTTGTGTGCAGATAGTTGGAGGGGTAAAGAGTGACATAGGCTCCTTTTTGCCGCGGGAGTTTCCCTGATTCCCACGGGAGAACACTTTATAATGCAATCCAAAAAAAAATGTTGATCAAAATTACTTGAAACTTGGTATTAATGCTCTTCAATAAAATTAAATAAATACTTGTTTTAGCGTTTTTCGAAATTCATTCTATAAGGGGGTAAAATAGAGGATGAAAGTTTGTATGAACTCTGTAGCCGAGTAGAGCGAAGCCACGGGTTCAGCTAGTTAATAATACAGATATAAGAATGTAAACAAAATAAATAAGACACGTTATCAAATTATTTAACTACTCTGGATTAAGAAGTTCTGAGATCATAAATATTCCTTGAAGATACGTTTAAAGTTTATACATTAATTAAGCAAATATTAATTAATCCCGCTGTTTTCTTTGATTGTCAGATAAGATATCATCCAGATGAACTAAATAAAAGTATTAAGTAACTAAAAATACTAATTGAAAACAGGAATCATAATATCAAAGCGCCGTGTTCCTTTTTTATGAATTTTCATTTACGACTAATGTACACAAAAGATTATTGTCACAGATGGAACACATTACGTAGAAGGAGGCGTGGGTGTAGAATCGAGCGATGTCGAATGAAGTAGCAATCAGCACTTCTGGGAAGCTTGGTTGTTTTTGCGCAGGTGCAATCAAGTAATGTTTTATTATAACCCGCGATGACCGCTAGCGCAAAACGATGCGATCGTTCACCGTCTACACACTATAGATATAAACGTGGCTCATCTCCTAGTTCTTCTTTCTAACACATAAATAATATATTTAGTTTCTTACTATTCATATTAAAACCATTATAGAAACAAGGCAAGGAAAAATTATATTTATATTCATATGCAATAGATATAATTTAAAGACGTGGGCTTTAGAAAATAAACGTTATGCTAATGGTATACACAGATTAGCCACTATTACACAACATAATTACATCAAATATATACATGCATTCATAATAAAAGTAATTGCCATATGAAAACTCGTTGCAATCACAGCTATTTCCAGGACTGAGCTAGGAAAATAATCAAGAACTAATATAAAAGTAGCGAATAAAAGCAAACATACGATTCGTGGAAATCTGATATCAACTTACAGGAATAACATATGTATAAACTTTTTATGTACAACATAAGAATGAATCGCATATATGCAAAGTATAGATTTTAATATCTACTACAGTTATTGAAAATGTAATTGATTGTCCGTGATAATACTTTTTAATGTAAAGTTCTCATGTTTAAATTTTAAAAGCTTCATAACTTCGTCAATGCGCTTTCATGTTAGAAACATTCACAAGCCACTTAAGAAATTTGAATAATAGGTAGTAGGATCCCATGGCGCCCAGACGTTGACGTACTAAAGGCGATTATAATTTTATTCGCGAACACAATGGACAAAATTTCCAAGAGTTTTTATGCTCATCGTCTACACACCTGTGCATGCATTGTTCATCGAAAATGTTTTACATGGCAATCATAAAACCGTGAGTGAAATTTTGATGAGAGTTTAGGAATGGATATTAAGGTACTTACCATTCGATACTTCTGTATCCTTTGACGCAACAGTGTATACTCTTGAACTTGTCTTGAAAGCCGTATTCGTAGGGGATAGGCTCTTTACTGAAGTGCATTGAGGAAGTGTTCGTAGAAAAAGTGTTAGTAGAGCAGTAGCCGGCGGAGAGCGCTCGAGACGCACTCGTCACCACACCCAACACCACTAGCACCCACATTGTGGATAATTACATCCTGGAAATAAAAATAATGAATTATATTGGCGAAGTAAAAATATCGAAATTATATCTAATTAAAATTAACATTCAAAATAGGTACAATTTATTTTAAATGAAATTTCATTTAATAGCAAATATGTATAAAATAACTTAAGATTGTTATTCATAGATTAAGTTAGTACCTATAAAGTTGATGATAATATAATAAAAATAAATGTTTTATTTTATGCTGAAGGCCACAAAAAACGGTAGTACGTACGTGCGTAGTAGTTTTTGACAGGATCAAAAGACTCAACAATGAAAAATGTTAGGGATTTATAGGTATCTGTTCCGATCACCATCGTTGTTTAGTACGATTGATGTAATTGTCAGGTTAGGTTCAGATCCGGGTATTTTGCGGACGGATTTAGAGCGGATTTATCAGTTTTCGACCAGTTTTAACCATAGAGCAAGATATGTACGAGAATAACCAATTGGCGTCATAAAAAAATGTCAAAATGTGATTTATCGGTTTTTGTTCTAACGCTCCAGTTAATACGTATAATTATTACTTTGCTTATCGTACCGGTTCTAACAACACGGTGATTCCTGAATGTACGTTTTTCTTATGATGTCTCAGGTAAAAACTATTCAACTTACAATTTGACGGATTTTTTAATGTTCTAATATAAAAATTATAGCTTTCATTAAAAATGACAAACTAGATGCTACTCATTAAGTTAGAACTGAGCTGTAGTAATATAAAATATTAGAACCTAACTTAATTAGAGATACTTGATAAAAATATTGTAATTTGATTTATCTTAAATATATAGGAAAAAACTATCATAAATATATAACTACGCACGTAACCTAATACGTTTAGTTTTTTTGTTTAGTAAGTAATATAGTACATATTATGTGATATAGTTTTGTTATATTTGTTCCAAGCCATATTTTCAAATGAAATATCTTCGTATAAAGTAAACTCATTCTAACTTATACTTTCACAGAAGCGGATACAGAATTTCGAACATCTTAGTTTTTAACCCCCGACGCAAAAAGAAGCGTGTAATAAGTTTTTGTGTAATAAGTCTTTGTCATGCAACAACCACTCAGCCCGGAGTGGTCGTTGTTGTCATGTCTGGCTGAGTATGGGACTACTGATTTTGATCAGGTTTTCTTTGAAAGCTGACGTATTCAAGTTGGTTCTTAGCAATAATTCTTGAAGATCTGTTCAGGCGTTTATTGATCATCAGCTCTTTTCCTACTTGACATAAGTGTCTTACTAACTGTCAAAGATTCGATTGATTTGAAATTTGGTGTGCTGTTACTTCGGTGGTATTTCCAAGACATGCTAACCTTGAGCTGATGCTGGAGCATCAAATAGTCTGCGGGATTCTCAATTCCTCAGAAACTTATATATAGCGTGTTTGGGCTCATGAGAATAGTTTCAATGAGAGTTATCTATTAGAATAATTAGTGTCAGCAAGTAATTTAAAAAGAATGGCATAAAAATAGAATTCAAAATTTTAATAACCCCCGGAACAAAAAAAAATCTCTTAAAAGAAAGAGTAAAGTACCTATTAATATTTTGATGAATGAAAACCGAATGAGAATCGCCGCGCCGGGGGACCGCTAATATTTTTATCATTCTGTTACCCGAACCGAATATTCTTTTTACCCAACTGCGCGACGTAAGGGAGGGTAATGCATTTAACAGACTATGTATGTATGTTTGTAGGAGATACTAGTCCGAAACCGGGTATAGGGGTAAAATCGAGACACGACACTAAGGATTTCTAATGTGTTTCAAATTTTCACGCACATAGTTCCTTGCAGTCACCTTGAATGGTTTATCAACAAAAGTTAGATGACGTGCGTGCGTCCTTGTTAGAAATATTTCAGAAAACAGTTTTTACTAAGAGGTGTGATATAATATAAGACGGATTTCAAAGTTGTTGATAATCTCGTAACCGTATGTCAAAGTAAGTGGAATTTGTTTTTGTTGTAAAGATTAAGTGTGTATTAATGTCAAACGAACATTTTAATTACTTTGTTTCTCTTCAGTGCGCTTGGAGTGATACCGTACGAGTACTTTTAATGAAGTTAAAAAGCCCAGAGAGAATTTTTTTTTACTTTTCAGAGCTTTTTTGTCAGGGGTTACTTAATTAAAAAAAATAATTTAATTTTTGTCACATACATAATAAGTTTTCAGACCAAATTATTTTAGTGGCATATGAAAATAATTAATAATTTTAATATATAATTTTGAAAGTATTTTTTTGGCACGATTTTCAAACTCGGCGGCTAGAGTTAGCTAGCAAACCGGATGACAATGGACTTCAAATTTTAACCAGACTATATTCTTAAGCCAAAAAATGTTCAACTGTGACAAAATGCTTGAAAACTAACATTATCGAAACAAGTCTGGGTGTCGTTCAACTCAAAACTACATTTTCGTTTTTATAAAATAAGCGTATTCCGAAGTTTAATAATTTCTGTGCAAAAAATATATTTGCATTATGAAATATGTCATTAAGATTAGTTTCAATTTTGCACCTTTATAGAAACGTAAAAGTTTCCACATGAACAGTAATATATACTTTAAATAACTAGTAGGTACTTACTGTTACATGTAAAAAAATATTTCTTTTATTATTTTTATACATATTAAATTATGAAATAATCTTGTAATGCACAAACCGGTCAATAATGTTCTCAAGATGACAGCTATATTAGTAACTGTATATGTACATATATTTGTTTAAACCAATTAGTACGTTAATTGAAAATAATTAAATTGTAGATACCTATGTTGTAAATAAACTTAACTTTAAGTAGTTCACTAAAGGTATCCCAAATACGACACGATAATTTTATTTAATTAGTTGTAGTAGCATGTCCAATTTCGATCTATATACCGACATACATTGAAGTAAATGGAATAAAAAGTACCGTGAGTAATTTGGTAGGCAATTAAAAACATAGTGGAATGTTGAGGCGGCGACAAATACCCACTACATGACTGCAACAGAATATAAAGCTCACTTAAGAAATACGCTCCGACTGCCATACGCAAGACTCCATGTAAACTAATACGCAAAAAAACACAAAAATAACACCTTTAAAAGGTTAAAATAGACAGGATATTATAACCTAGATGCCAGGACAAAACACGCTGGTAACCGAATGCCTATAATTCTAGGAATACTGCGGTTTTACGGGTGACAGGATGCCTACCTGGACTTATATCATACCTATATTTAATGTCTCTCACACATTGTCATTTTTTTTATTAGTATCAACCCAACATCCGGCTAATAGCGCTTTAGGAGTAGGTTTTAATGTGACGATAATTATAGCTTAACACATTAGCAAGCAACTAACATCTTGAAATGCGACAGAGAGAGCAAATTACACGGTAAATATAAAAAATAAATATCAATATTCGAATGCATTTAGGAAAAAAGAATATTAAATGAAATCAAGACAACGATGAATTATAACCTAAACTTTTTTTAATTGTAGGTACTTACTCTTTAAATAATAGCTTCGTTTTTAGACAAACTGAGTACCTAAATAGACATTGTATAATATTATATTAAATTTGATTATATTATTAAGTAAGAAACACTATAAAGTGAGTTTATTTTATTCCAAAGGTTTCAATAAAAACCTTCCACTATCCAGAAGATTCTGATGATATCTGATGGCTACAATATCATATTAGCTAGATTGTAAGAAATTTTTGTATTATCATCCGGATTTCATAATACATATATTTAAAAGTCTCAAATCGATAGTACGGCACTAAAAAGTAGATTTAAATCGTCTTCTAAGATTTGATTAAATTGTTACAAATCAGCTAATAAAAGCGTGTTAAAAACAAACATAGTTGTCGGTAGTCGGCTCAGGTGTTGTAAATACAAGGAGGGACACATCTCACAAGTTCGTTCTGTAGTCAGACGAGTGATTTTTGCAATTACCGACAAACGGCACACATATCTGTCGGCAATTTGCCGCCCCTCTCCGCAGGCTCTGTTGATCACCTTCTCGGAAAAGCAGTTGCATCAACTCCTGTGCTAGGGCGATTAACGTACTAATTACCAAGCACTGTCGCCGCCGTATACCACTGAGCGCTCGCAAAAAACACTATAGCTAGTTTCTCTATATACGTAATATGGTAGGTTGATAAATACTTGTTCCTTTACTTACATATACATACTGCTTATACAATGATTGTTCATTACTTTATTTTATTACAGTAGAATTAAGGGTGTAGCATATGTATTTATATGTCATAAAGAAGAAGAAACAAGAATTAGAACTATTATATTAATTATAAAAGGTAAACCTATTACAAATAATTTAGATAGATTGTTTCTATATATAACATCAGGTCAAACTGCTGGACCTAGCAGTTTAAAAAGCAAAGATGGGCCGAATGTGGCTTGAACCGAATACGAACTTCGGCCGAACGTTCGATGAAAAAAAAATCGACCGAACTTTCCAATTTCGACTTTTCTCAGAGGCAGGATTCAGGAAACATATACAAACAAAAACATACCAGGCTTCTGCCAGATAAGACAGTCTTTGGTGTTTTTACACCATAACCTTAAGCCTTTAGTAAATTTTAAATATGATTGGATAGATAAGAAAAGATTGTTGAATTTGATTGTGGAAAACACCCTTTAATAATTAAAAGATACTTGATGTTTCTGAGTGTTTTGTTTGTGAACCAAAAACGTGATTTTTTTAGTCAATTTACAAATTGTAATTAAGATGTTTGTTAGAAGAATACTAAGTTTATTTTATTTTGTCTATTTAATTAGGCAAAGATTTTTAACACTGTTAAATTAAGAAGAACTAATTTAATTTTTTATCGCATACGAGTTAAGGTTTACATATTCCTAACTAAAATAAATGAACATGAGTATGTAAAAGACTTAATTTTATTTGACTGTTATGACAGACATGCTTTCTATTAATTGTAGTCAAAATTGTGCAATTTGTTTTAGTGTTTTTTTCTAATATCAAATGTTTGGCATTCAAATCGAATTACGGCCGAATGGCGCGAAGTAGGCTGCCGAAATGCCGAACATCGGTTAAACCGAATGTAAAACGAATTTTGGCCTATTTCAGAATAATCCTTTAACGACGTAGTCTATTGCAAGAAAAACCTTGAAAATAGATAGTAAAAGCAAAACAAAAATAATGTGACAAGCTGGTAGGCAAATATAATTATCCAGTTATTGGTAAAAATAGTTTATTAGCATTTAGCGTATTATATTACTATACTTGTATTTGAAAGATAACATTTTTACTACATAATAATATACTTAATAAGGTAATTTTATTTACCATCATGACAACATGCCTAGATAAAATGCCTGAAGAGCTAGGGCTTAGGACAATATCACATATTAATTAAATGGTACAATTTCAATGGTGAGATTTCTCAATTCTTCAGATATGATATGAATAGTGCTGGACTTTTCAAACTGCTGCATCATATAAGTATGTCACAGTGAACAATCTAAGAACATTGCATAATATTATTCCCTCCATGACCGTGGACACGCGGGTGTTACAGTTAACAATAGATTTCTTAGAAATTCATAACTTGGAGGTGTTAAATTCCACAAGACATTATGGATGTTTTAAATAAATGTTATGACAATATAAAAACAAGGAATAATCCTCAACTCACAAAATTCATAAGCAACTTTTTGAGATTTCATACTTTGTTTACAATACCCTAAGTAATTTATACTAAGTAATTAATTGATTTTATTGTACTGAGAATAATAATTATGTTCTTTACTTAGTATAAAATAATATAGTCAATTCGGCTTAGACCTTAAATTCATTTTAAATATTAATTATTTAATACATGAAAATGTTGTAAGCTGTTTCTAAAAAACTATATTTTTTCTATATAGATACAATATTATAATTGTTTTTAAAATGATTAATTATATAGTAATTGGTGATTTTTATCATTTTAAATGAAATATAATAATTATTAGGCAATGACAATAAATGGTTTTTTTTTTATACAGAGGTAAAATAAACAGTTACAAATATCCTCATTTCTTATAAATAAATATTAATAATATATATATAAAATGACATCAAGCTTTAATTTAATTATAAGCATTCGGGCATTTTAAATGGGCCTGAGGTATGTTAATACTAAATTTAAGTAAAATAAAAAATATGAGAAACTTTTTCAACATATAATTAAAGTTTACTGATCTTTAGTTTGTACACTTTTTCAAATGCTTTAAATAAAAACAAGTAATACAAGTCAATTATATCCTTAAACTAGTTGACATGTATGTATGTTGTAAAAAAGTAGTGAAGAAATAAAGAGCATTCAAAGTAAAAAGATTACTCACCAATTCCAAAGATGATAAAATCCAAATTTCCCAGAACTCCAATTGTAAAAAACTTACTTCGAACAATAATTATGACACAGTTTATTCACTACACATTGTTAATATGAACTTTATTAACAGTTTATATAATTAATATAACTGCTTTTAGTTTACTTTTAAAAAAGCGAATCGAATTATTTATTTTAAAATACAAAACTACGTTGACCACATGTCACCGGCTTTACAGAGAAAACGTAACTGACGTCTGTCTGTCATATAGATTATTTGACGCTGTCATAACTTTTTTTTATAATGACTTATAGTTGCGTTAACAGACGCAATCCATTCTGCCACTTAATGTTTTCACTAAAAGTATTTATATGTAGTGGTTACATTCTCTTTGGTTTTCACGTTTATGACATTGATGTTTTTAATCTGCGTTCTATTATATTCAGATAATCAATAAAATGATAAATAAATTTGCATAAATCAAACATTTTTAAAGACTTCCATTTAAAAAAAAAGTGTATGTGTAGTAAAACCATTCGTACTACGCACGTAAGAAGTTATACTTCTTTGGCGTAGCAGAACAAAAATTGCTAAAGATATTATCCCGTACGTCAATACTCTCTGTTTGTAAAAGGAATGCAGCTAACTTCATCATGTCGCTTTCAACTATTTTCATCATGACGGTTTTTGGCTGTCATTATGCTCCCGCATCGTAAAGATTTTACTTTAATCATTTTTTCCATACGTGCCTAAAGAAGTATAACTTCAAAACAATTTTTTTTAGTTGGAAATTAATATTTGAACAAACTGTAAGATTTTATATTTAATTATGCAAAACTAAAATGAATGGAACATAAAGAATGTATACTCAGGCCCAAAAAAACACAACTCGACTAAAAAAATAAATTACACACACTTTCCCGAAAAATTTACAAATTTTAACTAATTCATTTGTTATTTTAGGTTTTGAACTTTGATATTTAAAGTACTTCAAATTAAAACTATACAATTTATAGTAATTTTAATCACACAAAAATATACGAGAATTTTGTCATTTTCTCTCGACAGATGTCGCGTTCACTTTGATCCACAGTGTATTTTAAAGCTATATAGCGTGGGTGGATATTTTTTCATTTTAATTAAAATAATAAATTGTGCAGTGCCAGGATGCAAACAAAATGGATATCTTTTGTTTTCAAAAGACAAAAACTGAAGAAATGTGGGCTAAATCAATAAGACGACCAAAATTGGCGAATTTACAATCTTTATATTTAAGGCTATGGGGACATAATTTTACAGAAAATGATTTTAATACTCTTAAATCGTCTACAGGTGAATATTTTCTTTTAATTTTTGTACTTTTTTACACATTAATTACAGTTTCATACAAACTGTTATCCCCCATTTTTCCCCTCATGGGATTGAATTTCGAAAAATGCTAAAACACGTATTTATTTAATTGTATTGAAATGCATTAATACCAAGTTTCAAGTAATTCTGAACATAAATAATTCTTTGCCCATATAAACTTAATATTACCTATAAGGAATGAATTTTGAAAAAATCAAATAAATATATTTTTTTATATTTTATCTTGAACGTAAACCTGAACCTCTTTCTTATTTTACCCACTTAAGAGATGAATTTTGAAAAATTCTTTCTTATCGGATTCCTACACGTGGAATACGTCCTCCAAATTTAACGTTTCTCTTGTCTATTACCAGCGGTTTAGAGTTTGTGTGTTGATCCAGTCAGTCAGTCAGTCAGTCAGTCAGTCAGCCAGTCAGGACCACCACAGGATCCCCCCAACGTGCGTTCACCTTGTCGTGGTGGGGGAGCTCAGTAGTGCCCGGCAATCCAACCGGGCGCGAAGCTAAGAAACGCACAGGGAGGTTGCCCACTTCGGTGGGCGGTGGGAGGGGGCCCTCTTCGGGGGGTGGTGTACCTTGCGGGTTGCTCCTGGTACTTCTCTGATAGCAGAGTGGACCTTGGAGCAACCCCATGGTTGTGGTGGTCTGCTTTGGCAGACCTGCCGTCGGGGCGTCGTAGTTGAATGCGTAAGCGATCTTGCGACGCCCCATTAAGACGGGGGAAGGTTTTGTTGGGTTTTAGTGGGTAGTACTGGCTGTATTACGCCGGTGAGTCCCACACGTCGTGCGTAAATGCATTTCCCAACGTTAAAAAAAAAGGACCACCACAGGATGCACCTCTCCTTCTCAATTCTTCCTTCAGCTGGTCTAACTTCCAGGTACAATACAGGTAAGATGGGAATACAATAGAATCAAAAACAAAATGATAAGCCAATATTTAAATTAAATGATAAGCCAATAATTAAATGATAACCCAATTTATTCGACAATTTTAATAAATGAAATGACATCTCTAGTTCCGCCATTATCACAGATAAAATATTTTATTAATACAATCAAAAATTGTCACAGATAATACTTTATTTATAAAGTTTCTTTAGTTGATTGCATGGACGAATAATGAACGTTGATTGGGCCGGAATATAAGCGAGTTATCAAAACTCAAAATTGACGTTTCCAATTATACCTTTGTATCCGACCGGGATTCGAACACGGACACTTGTTCAATCTTGTGCCTTGGCCTCTTGACCACGATGCTTATTCCCGAGCGTACAAATATCGACCATATTTTGCGTGGAATAGCAAAAGAAAACTGCATGAAAACTCGAAAACACGCATTTTCTCAGACATATGACTAATCTAGACGGATTTTTCGCCCCCTCTGTATAGTAAATTACATGAAAATCGTTGAAACCGTTTCCGAGATTCAGATTACAATTAAAAAAAATAGTATTATTATTCGCCAATAGATGTCAGAAAGAGTCATTTTTTCAGTTTATGCTTAAGTGGCAACATTAGGACTACCCAAACGCCACCTTTTTATTATTATTTCCAATAAAAAAAATAAGTTTATGTTTTAGTTGATTAATTATCGATAAAGTTGGTTATTGAAAACACGAATAAAACGACATTTTCTAAAAACCGAGCTTAGCTCGGAGTTTTTGGTGTAATTTTCTTTTAAAAAATACAAAAAAATAATATACCTTTGTATGCGACCGGGATACGAACCCGGACACTTATTCAATCTTGCGCCTTGGCCGTTTGACCATTATGCTTATATCTGAGCGTGCGAAATTATCGAACATAATATTTTGCGTGGAATAATGCAAAAGTATAAACCGTATGAAAATTCGAAAACACGCGTTTTCTCAGATTCAGATTATATATTGATATACAAGAATTGCTCGTTTAAATATATTAGAGTACCTGGGCCACCGAGCTTCGCTTAGAGTTTTTGAATAAAAAGTACAATTTTCTTTAAAAAAACTAAAAAACTAACTTTCATACAAGAAAGGGTATATGTATTTTGTCTTAGAAATAAACAAAATTCCAGAGGAAAAAATTAGAAATCTTTAAAATATGTACTATAAAATATAATTATAATAATTAATAAATAGGTTGGGTTTAAACATAATATTTTTACTTTTTACTACACTTTCTTACGACTAGTCCATTAGAAAGATTTAATTAAGTACATTAATTATTACATTACAATTTGTATTTTTTTCTTAGATTAGTTTTTTTATAAGCAAACGAAAAATGTATTCATAATAACATGTCCTTTTATTATACAATTCAATCATCAACTATGCTTAATGAGTCTATAACTAATCTATATGGAATAATTTTAATTCTCAGTAAATTTATGTTTAATATTATTATTTTTTCTTAGTCTTAGGCATCGTTTTCTTAACGTTCCGTAAGTAACGAAATGACCCGAGGGCCCGTCGCACCATGACGCCGCGCCACCACGCCTGGATTCGTGTGGCTGCTTTCCGCAAGCGTTCCTCCCGGGCGAGTCGGGCGGCGCGCTCTTTTTTAAATGTTAGCCATGCTCGCATCTCTCCCTCGTGAAGTTTGAACTGCAACATTTTAAATTCAATATTTAATTATATTTACTAAAATTCTTACCGCCGAAGAATGTTAAGCGAAAAAGATTTTAGCACAAGATGAATATTTTCCAGATATACATATATTTTATCCCAGATCTGCTTAAAATAAAATATAAATATTGGGCATTGTCTTTAACTTTGTATCATGAGTTTTTATTTAAAGAAAGGATGAAAAAGAAAGTTTTTTACATGAAAAACAAATTTAGAGCAATTTTATGGTTAAATTATCAAAATTTTAATATGTGAAGTAGGTAAGTACAAATCAGGCGCGGATTCAGGACGCTATACACTTTTTGAAAATGTTAAGTATATAGGTAAGTTAAAAAACTGATGAACCTTCTTGAGTTATTTACGCCGCACTAAGGGTTTATTTTGTTCTTTAGAGATATTTTGGGTATTTTTTTCTATCGAGGAAACTACTAGTAATCGTGTTTCGACTGGCACCGATTTCGAAAATATTTGATTAGGTATGTATAGTAAATGAAAACTACCGATCAGTTATTTTTTACTTTTTAGTGCTTTTGTTTGTAGTCGGTTTTTATTTTTTTGTTAAAAAGTTTTTATTAAAGTTAAAAAATATTGTAAGGTAATTGGTGCAATTTTCATTTTGTTATCTGTGGGTAGGCTGTCTGTAAAAACTATACCTTCGGAGACATGTAACACCTCAGTCTCTCCCGTAACCATGAATGCTGTAAAGCATTCGAAACGTCGGGAACCAAAAATCCAAATAAATCCGCGAAAAAATCCGAAAAGATAGTTTTATTTAACTTACATATTAATTACATAATTAAAAATTTAAAGTTTTAGTAATAACAATACAACGACGGATCAAACGAACGCAATTATTTCGTAACTTCCTCGGTAGGTAGGTACGCCCTTAAACTCGAGGGTTCATTTTGGCTCTTCGCATCGAACCTCGATAAAGACATTAAGGACAATAAACATGACAGAGATCAGCACGTATCATCTTAAAAAACGACAGATATACGGACAAAAATTTTATGTAACAGCCGTATCGTAGTGAATTTATTTTATTACATATTATGTACATAACGGATGCCAGTCATAATTTCTTTAAAAACGACGTAAAAATAAATTTAATGTCTAGTTCAAGGCCAGTATTACTAGATTACTGTAGTTATTTATGGGACATTACCAAACTCTCTAATTCTCCTCGGCGCACTACAGTGACCCGTAATTGCTCGCATTGTGCAGCGAGTCTAGCTTCTAGATCAGCTGTATCTTTAAAGTATCGTATTTTCCAATAGTCCAGCAGTTGCACTCTTTCCTAAATATAAAATTAAAATAAAATGAATCAGGGTTATTTGGATTCAGTTAAAAAAGTTATTGCCAGGTGGGTCAATATTTATTGCTTAGACAATAATTGGTGTACCTATTATAATTATCCAAAAGAATACCTAAATAAATTATTAAGAAATTGGCAATTTTATTTCAAATATTAAAAGATGCGAACGTTTTGCATCGTTCGAAATTTCAAACGGACGCGATGGTTGAAATTGAAAAACAGTTGTAGCAAATAATTTTTTACTTACTACGGAAATTTCCATTGTCAGGGAACTAGATTTGTTTATAAAACAAAAAATAAAATAAACCAAGGTTTAAATTATGTAAAAAGTATTTATGTACATCTTTTCACATATTTAATTTAAAAAAATATAACATTTTTAATTTATGTAAGTTGTTATGTATACATATAATAAAATTCTAACTAAGCCGAATCTGTACATTAAATATTTTTTGGAAAATCTTATTAAAATAGACATTAATTTCAATATAGAGGCCGAATCAATAGTTTTTAGAATTTGTAGTATATGTAATTAATTAAATTATAGTAAAGTAAAAAAATAAAATAAATATGTATGTAATATTATAAAATAAATAAAAAACGCACAGACAAACTCGCGCCCCGCCGTTTAATATACATAATTAATTACATCTTTAGAAGCCCCCCTCGCCGCACCGCCGGCGCAGGCGCAGGTTCGTTGCAGCGAGGCACGCGGCAGTAGTCGACAAACAGATCGCGACGCGGAGCGCACGCTTGTCCATACGAGAATATATAGTTGTCTTTTCATTAAAACCTATTACTACAGTGGTGAACCCGACGTAGAACACAGAGATGTCTGAGAAGGAGCTTGAGATTAACCGAGTAGGCGTAAAAGTACCACCATTCTACCCAGAGAACCCCAGTTTGTGGTTCGCGCTCCTTGAAAGCCAGTTTGTACTAGCTAATATAACAGCAGATAGTACGAAGTACTACCACACATTAAGCCAGCTGGAAACCACATACGCAGCAGAGGTCGAGGACATCATAATCGATCCACCAACTATCGACAAGTACGAGCGGCTTAAGTCGGAGCTCATCCGGAGGCTTTCCGTTTCACGAGAAAAGAAGGTGAAGCAGTTGCTGACCGCCGAGGAGTTGGGTGACAGGAAACCGTCACAGTTCCTGCGCCACCTCAAACATCTAGCCGGCCAGGGCGTTCCGGATGACTTTTTAAGGACTATGTGGTCAAGCAGGCTGCCTAACAGTACGCAGTCGATCATCGCTTCGCAATCAAGGATGTCTTTGGACGAGGTAGCAGAACTGGCCGACCGCATTCACGATATGGTCACGCCCACCCCTCATGTACACGCCGCGTCAACATCAACCGCAAGCCCCGCGAGCACCATGGATGAGATGAGCAGGGAGATCGCTTCCCTATCCCGACAGGTCCAGGATTTGGTGACCAGGATGGATCGCATTTCTAGATCCCGATCCCGTTCGACAGGCCGCTCCCGAGGACGTTCTACCAGTAGGTCACAAAGTAATTCCCGGAAGTATCCTACCTGCTGGTACCATTACAAGTTCGGTAAGGAAGCTAAAAAGTGCACGAAACCGTGTAATTTCGCGGGAAACGCCCAGGGCAATCGGTAATGGCGACCAACGATTGTCACAACAGTGGTCGCTTATTTGTTACCGACCAAAGAACAAAAGTGCAGTTCTTAGTAGATACTGGAAGTGACGTATGTGTGTATCCGAAACATTTATTAAAGCGTAGTTGTTTAAAAAGTGATTTAGTTCTAAGTGCCGCAAATGGGTCGGCTATTCACACTTACGGTTGTATTAATTTAACGTTAAATCTATGTTTACGCCGCGACTATGTTTGGCGATTTATTATTGCAGATGTGACAAAGGCGATAATAGGTGTTGACTTCCTTTCTCACTACGAGCTAACAGTAGATGTAAAAAACCGGCGCCTGATAGATAGACATACAACCCTCGCCGCCCCTGCTATGCTTGCCTCAAGATCGGACGTTGTAACATCGGTGAAGGTAATGTCTGGTGATAGTACATACCATAACATACTACACAAATACCCCGAAATCACACGCCCCTCTGGCATACGTCACCCACCTAAACACAATACATTGCACTACATTAAAACAACACCTGGACCACCCGTTACGAGTAAACCTCGTAGGCTGGCTCCAGGAAAGTACACAATGGCTAAGGCCGAGTTTGAAGCCATGTTGAAGGATGGTACGTGTAGACCCTCACTGTCCCCCTGGTCTTCCCCACTCCACCTGGCACCTAAAAAGAACGACGGCTGGCGCCCCTGTGGTGATTATCGGATGCTCAACTCCAGGACGGTTCCAGACAGGTATCCCATCCGCCACATCCAGGACTTCGCTTGCAGCTTATCTGGTTGCACTATATTCTCCAGCATTGACCTGGTAAAAGCGTACAACCAAATTCCAGTTAATCCCGACGATATAGCTAAAACTGCCATCACTACACCTTTTGGACTTTACGAATTTCCGTACATGACATTCGGACTTCGTAATGCTGGACAGACGTTCCAGCGGTTCGTCGACGAGATGTTACGTGGACTGGATTTCGTATACGCATATCTAGACGATTTTTTAGTATTTTCCAGGGACCAGCAATGTCACGAGCAACACCTGCACCAGCTGTTCACCAGGCTAAAAGAGTATGGTATGGTAATCAACACTGCAAAGTGACGAAACCTATTACTACAAATTTTTGTCTGTCTGTTGCCGCATCACGGAAAAACCATTGGAGGGATTTTGATGAAATTTGGTATGGTGATAGCTGGTTATCGGGGTCAACATCTATATGTACCGCGGGAAAATATCTCATTTCTGAAAAAAATATAAAAACTGCAATGTAAGAGTAAGTACGAGTATATTAATATGTAAAACCTAAGAATTTGGTTTTTGGTCATCTGAACGCGGGCGGACTCAACATTTTAAACATTTAGCAGTACCTGAATCTGTAACTCATAAGCTTTAAGCAGTTCATCGTGTACGCAGTCCTCGTGGTCGAGCCGCGGCGCCGGCGCTGCCGATACTTGCACCTGTAACTCTAGCGACTCCGCGCGTGCACTTAGCCATCTATCAGCATAATCGAAATGCATACGCGAATTCAACACGCAGTCCTATAAAATAGAAATAGAGATAAAGAGAGAGAGAATAATATATATATATATATATATATATATAAATGTTAAACTAAGTTATTATTTTTAATATTTTTTTTAACAATTATTGTGTTTCGTCTCTATATTTTTTCTTAATGATATGAATCTTGATACAAAAAAGGTATATCAATTTCTTTTAGTAAAATATGTTTGTCTTTATTTATGTATCAATTTAGCACTGATGGATAGATTTTTGAGTGACTCTTATTATTTAAGTAAGTCTAAATTATAAACAAAACTAAGTTATTTCAATTTTTCAAGTAGATCTAAAGGTAGAGATTGAACAGCTATTTGTCATGCTCATGTAAAAATGGAGTCATATTTCCGGTTCGAAGATTAAAGGAAGTATTATTTATTTTAAGCGTGTGAAATCACGGCCCAAGCCTAGTATTACATAAAAAATCGATACCAAAGCTTTAAGCGGTGTCTAATCATAAGTTCATTATAAATTACCTTTATGCTATCACGAAGGAATGCTATTTTCAAATCATATTTCCGAAAGTCAAGTTTCCACTGTAGTCGGTTCCTTTGAAGCTCAAAACAGATATTTTCTAGTGAACTAAAATTATAATATAATAAGATTAAGAAAATGGTGGTTAAACAGAATTTAATGTTTAATTGAAATAAAAAATGTTATTAAAGACCTTTTTAATTTTTCATGACGCGTCGTTAACACCCCCAAAGAATTTGTATTTTTTTCTATGACTTCAACAGCTTCTTTGAGTACGTACCATTCACCATCTTGAGCTAATCCTAACAAAGTTCTTAGCAATATTTCCTTGACAATTTTACTGAAAAAAGTGCTGTGGTATAGAATTTAGTATTTGTGACTAAAATCACTTTGCATTTTTGCAATATTCTATCTACGTATTTTTTTTATTATAACACGATTTCTTATTTGATATCTTTTATCCTTTTACTTGAAAAACTATACATCTACTTAAATAATGTAGCATTAATAATACATATTTAATTTATTGTATTATTTCTTTACGTTCACTACATGAACTTACAAAAACTTATTGTCATTTTAAATAAAACTGTCTGTTCGGATTATTTCGCGAAGACGAGAAGGAGAGTCTCTCCCGTGACCATAATTGCTGTAAAGCATTCGAAACGTCAGGAACCAAAAATCAAAATAAATACGTGAAATAATCCGAAAAGATAGTTTTATTTAAAACTAGCTGACCCGACAGACCTCGTTCTGTCAAATCAAGTGTGTTTTTTTTTTGTTTTTTTCCGGGCCTTTTTTCCAATATTTCTCTCCGTAAGAACCATCCTCGTACTTCAAGGAATATTCTAAAAAAAGAATTAGCGAAATCGGTTCAGCTGCTCTCGAGATTTGCGCTTAGCAACACATTCAGCGATTTATTTTTATATTATAGAAAAAGAGAAAAAATGTCAAATATTCGCGTAAATCTAAGAAAACTTATTGTCAATACATATTATTATTTTCTAGTAAATGATAATTATAACTACAAATTAAATTATACTAATGTTTTCTACGAACTTTAATTAGTAGCGCCATCTTCACATACTGCCTTGCAACTCACCGATCTCTAGCGAGCTTATCACTAAGCTGTTTTTCTCGTACGTCCTTGAGGCCTGACGCAGGGAACTTTCGCTTTGCACTTATTTCTATAAGTACAGTAGGTCTCAAAAGATGGCGTTAAAATATATGGAATTTGTTTCAAACTATGTACAGATAATAATATCAAGTGCTTATTAATAATTAGAGTGTAAGCAATATTTAATGCAATACGTTTATTAAATTATAGTAAATATTAATTGAGTATATTATTTAAAATTAAAGAAAAAGTAGCGATATGTTTGTGTATATATTATGAAAAAAAAACCATAACCAACTGAATCCTCAATAAGCAGTAGGTAGTAAGTATAAATGTAATAGGTATGTTACATGAAGATTCATGTTAAATTTTGTCTATTACGAGTATTACCTTAATGTTTTTAATAGACGTTAATATGTTGTTTAAACTTTAAGTCGTTGACATTGATATAGTATTATTTTTCGATAAAATTTTATCCTACATAATATACCAATACGTACCTAATATCCTCATTTGAAGCAACATTACTTCCAAACTAATGGCGAAGAGTAAAGCGTCCATTGTGGAAATCCTGTTACAAAAGCGAGTGGGTATATTTCTTGACAATATGCTAAATAAGTTTAATATTATATTAAATCATACTTTTCCTTTATTTAGAAAAAAAATCTATTCAAGAGAAAGCAAAATGTTAGTTGCTGCATATGACAGTTTATAGATTAAATATATTTAAACTGCAAAACTCAATTTCCTTCTCAACTTCATGAGTGTTAAGATGAGAATAATAAACGTAGCTTACTGATGATAATCTTTAAGCACACAAAAGATGCAATTAATTTCCCGAATGTGTGTACTTGTATGTTTTAGAATCTAGTAAGTATAATATTTATTATATCTAAATATATATTATGACTTTTATGTGTTTTCATATGTAATACGAACTAATATTGTTATAGCTAACCATTATCAAACCAAAGTAATCTTTTAATTTAAAACGATATAAGTAAATTCAATTTAATCCGTACATTTTGTAAATTCCTGAGGTAACAACTGTTTTCTTCAACTCTAATGTATGTATTCATTAATAGAGCAATGAGCGTTTCTTTTTATAAAACCATTAAGCACTTGATACGTATTTATAATTTTAAATTAATTCATGTTGTTAGCAATGTAAATTAATGTTAAGCTTTTTAAGCTTATTCTACTTTGTAAGGCACTGTATTGCGACCAAATGTTTTTTCTTAATACCTGCTTAATATTGTGTAATTTGTGGTAGCACTAGCACTAAATGTTATAACACCTCATATTCTTTATTATTTTAAATGTATCTATGCAAATAGATAATATACATTTTTAGATGAAACATGGGTAAAAAGTTTCCAAATATAGAAAGGTCTACTTTTCATTAGCTACTTGTAAATTCTGTTTTCATGGGAACCTATTTAAACTTATAAAATCATTTAAGTAGCTTTATTTTTTTAAACTATGGACTAGGAAACGATGGTATGGAAAATTAGAATACGTCCTTGTATTTAAATTTCAAGATTTGTAAAATCCCTTAAACATCTATAACATTTTAGTTTTCAACATACCTTTCATTTCCTTTCATATTTAGTTACTATCTTTGGCCGTTGCTAGAAGCTCCTAATTTACCGTTTACTGTAGTTTTCCTATAAACCATATCAGGGACCCGTTAGGCCGTTACTAAGCAACCCCGTGTTTGATCTATTTGATCAATTAATTACGCATGATATACTTATGTATTCTATTACTTTATTCATATCATATTATCGTATACCAAAAATTCTATGTCAGTTTGCGCACGCAATGAAAGTAAGATGTACTTTAACTATATATTATTAAGTGAATTAAAATATATTATTATAGATTCTATATAAATATGGAAAATTAATACAATAATAAATAAGTATAATTTTGGACAATGAGCACATCCCTACAAGATACATATAAAAGGAAGTCAGTACCAATGTGCGTGCTAATCTGAAAAACTACTTCTTAATATCAACGGATTTGAATGTTATTTGTCAGATTGTTATCAAAAAAACACTCAAGTGTAGCAAAAAAAAACTTTTTAACAAAAAAATAAAAACCGACTTCAAACAAAAGCACTAAAAAGTAAAAAATAACTGATTGGTAGTTTTCATTTACTATACATACCTAATCAAATATTTTCGAAGTCGGTGTGCTTTGCTTTGTATGGACTGGCAACGATTTCGAAAATATTCGATTAGGTATGTATTTAATAGGTAGGCTTTAATTACTTAGCCAAAGCACACCGACTTCGAAAATATTTGATTAGGTATGTATAGTAAATGAAAACTACCAATCAGTTATTTTTTACTTTTTAGTGCTTTTGTTTGAAGTCGGTTTTTATTTTTTTGTTAAAAAGTTTTTATTTGTCCCTTTTTAGTGTAGACAGTAGTAGCAAAGTAAGAATTCTAACGTGTTAGGCTTGTCAAATCAAACAAAATAAGCCCAAACTCAAAGTATCTACTATTAGCCGTTGAAGAGTTCCACCTATCCACCTTCTGGCCTTACCATCAGATCAGGTCAACAATACCGAACCACTGTACTATCAATGGAAATAGAAACACTTGCAAAGTTTCAAGTCAATATGACAATAAGAAGTAGGTTAAATTCATCATTAGCTATTTTTCCACCCTTACGGGTGGTATTTTTTTTTTGAAATTTAAATGGGACCAATCTGGAAGTATACACTTTCAAACAACATAAAAATTGTCCAAATCGGTCAATAAATGACGGAGTTCTGAGGTAACAAACATAAAAAAAACAAAAAAAAATACAGTCGAATTGAGAACCTCCTCCTTTTTGAAGTCGGTTGAAAATAAATAACAAGGTGGTTTTTTTATAGTTTCTTCTTTTTACAATGTTGAAATCTATAAGAAAACATACATTTTAATGATCAAATATACATCCTATACAGCTTATTTTGCTGATTGCAGACCTTATTGATCTATCTATATATGATATTTTTTGGTGAGGATGTTATTTTACACCCGGATTAAGATGTAGGATGGTTATGATAAAGGTCTTATAAAATTATGGTAAAGTACGTGGAATAGTTAAGGCTCCGATTTAGCTTACTTTGTGTACCATAGGTACATCCTAAAAGATTATTATGGCATACGAGCCAAGAGAATAAAAGTTTTATGGAAAGTTCTTTTTTTCCTTTTGAGGTACGAAATCCTAATAACCAATGACCTTTTCAAAAGTAGGTCATGAAATGGCCTTTTTTTTTTTAACGTTGGGAAATGCATTTACGCACGACGTGTGGGACTCACCGGCGTAATACAGCCAGTACTACCCACTAAAACCCAACAAAACCTTCCCCCGTCTTAATAAGGCGTCGCAGGATCGCTTACGCATTGAACTACGACGCCCCGACGGCAGGTCTGCCGAAGCAGACCACCACAACCATGGGGTTGTTCCACAGTCCACTCTGCTATCAGAGAAGTACCAGGAGCAACCCGCATGGTGCACCGCCCCCCGAAAAGGGCCACCTCCCACCGCCCACCGAAGTGGGCAACCTCCCTGTGCGTTTCTTAGCTTCGCGCCCGGATGGATTGCCGGGCACTACTGAGCCCCCCCACCACGACAAGGTGAACGCACGTTGGGGGGGAGGTCATGAAATGGCCTGCCTGATTGTTTATGAGCGCACAACGTGCAGTTTCTATGAGTTCAAATGATGATACCTAAAAGTAACATCACCATGATCTCGCTGCCCATTTCCCAATTTACTTGGGGTCTACGTAGTAATTCTTCCTCTTCCACTCTCCCCTATTACTCGTCATTTCATCATTCACCGGTTTCTCTTTCATGTCCTATCTCACACAATCTCCCTATCTTTTCTTCGGTCTTCCTCGACCTCTCTATCCATCTACATTCATTTCCATCATTCTTCTCCTCACATGCGAGTAGTAACATAAAAGTACCATCAATGACTATCGTGCATTCCATATTACGCGATTCCACAAAGAAAGATAAATAAATAAAGAAGATCAAATTCAGTGGTAGAGAAAAAAATAATAAAATCATGAAGCCACAGACCGAATCTAATACCTACTGTATAAAAGTCTAAACTTACTTTTATAAAGTAGGTACTACACTTCGCACTTCATGAACATAAATATATTATTTTTGATTGGCATAAATGATACCTTTTATGTTATGTGCATAATAAAGTGCAGTTGCAGTTTTCAAATTATTTTCTCGTGTTGTTCTACTTTTGCTGCCTTTGATGTTGATTACTTCTAACTCGTACCTACATTTATTTGAATACAATGTCCATGGAAATAACTTAGAAATTAAATTAATACAAAAGAATTTCAAACTCGTTTGAACTATTCACTGTTCAGTTTATATAGTTTACTCCAAAAAGCTTTGAATATCATTTTGCGTCGTGGAGAATTAGTAAAATTCATGTTAAAATTATTTTATTGTTTTTACGCAAAACCAGTTGCTGAAATAATTAGTTATATTTTAAGTACAGCTAAAACAATTTATTGAGATACAAATTTTATTTTCATAAACTAGCATTGCTGCGGCTCCGCCCACGTTCAGATAACCAAAAACCAAATTCTTAGGTTTTACATATTAGTATATTATTACATTGCAGTTTTTGTATTTTTTCTCAGAAATGAGTAATTTTCCCGCGGTAAAAAGTATCCTATATGTTGACCCGGATAACCAGCTACCATCATACCAAATTTCATCAAAATCCCTCCAGTGGTTTTTCCGTGATGCGGTAACAGACAGACAGACAGACAGACAAAAATTCTAAAAACTATAGATTCGGCCTCTGTATCGACAATAATGTCTATTTCAATAAGATTTTCCAAGAAATATTTAATGTACAGATTCGGCTTAGTTACAATTTTATTATATGTATAGATAAGTTCTATTAGTCTATTAAGTGTTACAGAAAACAAAGTTACTTAAGTGGATAAGATTTAGATTTTCATTTCAGATAACTATGGCGCTCGATATTCAAGAATTCATTAGACAAGACCCTACCTACAGAAAAAAACGGAACAATGTGTCAATCAACAGCTATGGCAATCCATAATTTGTTTCTTTATTAAACAAAATTATTGATACGAATGCAATTATATTGATATCAATGCAATTATTTCTGTGTGGTAAATATTAAATCAACATTATTAAAACATATTGGGAACATCATGGATTTTATTTAGCACTAGCGACTCACCCTCGCGTCGCTTCGCTTGGGTTCGTCCCTAGGTATGTTTTAACGGTTATTATGGAATATATTAAAGATACATGTACATAGATATGATGAGTTTTATATGGCTAACTTGAGAAATGTTTGATTCCCCATACAAACTTTCACCCTCCTTTTCATCTCGTTAAAGGATGATTTCCGAGATAAAAACTATCCTATGTCCTTTCCAGTGTCTCAGGTTATCATCATACTAAATTTCACTTGATCAGTTTAGCGGATTAAGCGTGAAAAGGTAACAGACAGAGAGACAAAGAGACTTGATGCAATAACTTTTTTTAATATTCTTTTTAGGTTGGCTTATCTATCACCTCGCAGTTAAATTCTAAGATATTAATTGTTAACCGAGCCACCTGTGGCTCCGCGTGCTTTGAAAGGCTATATATATACAGAGACAGACATGATATATATAAATATACATATATATGTTATATATATATATTTATATATCGATCCATACCAGTATAAACACTATCAGTTTAAAAAAAAATTCTCTATTAGCTCATATTTACGACTGTTATGCATAAACTATGTTGATCTGAAAAAAGTAACAAGTGGGTAAATTTTAATTAAAATAATCTCATAATATGCTTTTACATGTACATATATTTATATAAGTGTTGTTTATTTATATTTCACGGAAGGGTTAGCTATATCTATCTATATATCATTCATTCATTTGCAATATTTTTATTATGTAACTAGCGGCTCACCCTCGCTTCGCTCGGGTTTGTCGCTAGGTACGTTTTAAATAGATATAAATAGTTATTAGTCAGCGTTAGTAGTAAGTTTAATATAGTAGTAGTAATTATAGTAATATTATTAACAAAAAAAAATATTTTTTTTGTTAATAATATTGACAAATATTGACATTCATATTTATACGATACTAACGTCACTCAATTGTTTTGCCTTCCCGGAATCTCTCCACTAACACTTAAACTTTATGGTATGGTATTAAAGTTCAATGTGACTTTTAAGTATTTTAAGTAATTTAAGTTATTACGAATCTTTTGTATGGGAGTATAGAAAAGTGTTGTTTTTAGGTTATTTCAGGCATTTTTTTTATTTTTTCTCTCCGTAACAACCATCCTCGTACTTCAAGGAATATTTTAAAAAAAGAATTAGCGAAATCGGTTCAGCTGCTCTCGACATTTGTGCTTACCAACACATTAAGCGATTCATTTTTATATTATAGATAGATATATTCAATACAAAATACTTTTCATCCGATAGGATGGGTAAAGTACGACGTCAACGTCGTCGTCTAATAGCGAATGAGAGAAAGTAAAAATAAGGGAGTAAATTACCTACTAAAGAATAAGTCA